CGCCGCCTGGCCTGGCCGTGCGGACAAGAGGGCCCACAACAATCGGGTAGGCGAAGCAACGCCGCGGAAAGGGGAGGGGGGGCGAAGTGTTCTCCTAAATTTCACTTTACGACGCTATTCGTCCGATTTGCATGATTGACACGGCGTTGGATTTAAGAAGCATTTCGCCATCGTGCTATATGCCCGCATTTTTTAATTTTACTCATTTTGGTGCTGCCACGTGGTGGCTACAAATTGTACAGAGTGCGCCAGAGAAACTTACTTATTTGAAAAAATTCCCGCGCGGTGAGTTGGGTGGTTAGAGGGGCGAGAGGGGGCGTATCTGGAGGGGGAAGTTCCAAGTTTTTTCTCCTTCTCCAGTCAGTTGCCATAATGCTTTGCGACTAGAGAGCAGCGGCCTTCGCAGTCGAGAGCTTCTTTTCTAACGGTCCGCTACTTGTTGCTACGCAACGTGCCTTCCCGGCTCTCGCTTTGAAATTCCTCCTCACCAGAGCTCGTTCCTGGCCGTAATTCGAATTCTGTCGTGGTTAACTCATTTCGGGAGTGTAGAAGTGTCGCTAAACCTCAGAAATGGACTTCACAGACATCCAGAACCGCGCGGAAAATATCGGAAAGAGTGAGGCGTCAAGTTGTGCGTTCTCCCCGACGTTCGGCTCGCAAACACGCCGCCGCTGCTATGGGAAATTTCCTGACACCACTTGTTCGAAACGAATTCTGCATGAAGAACGCTTCAATTTCATCCCTACAAACTGGCTGTTGTGCAAGAATTACTGAACGCCGATTTTTGGTTGCCCGTCAAAATGCATGTGTGAAATGCTGATTGACGAACCTGTCTGGAAGACGGCGGTTCGTTTTTTTCAGTGACTGAGGCTCTTCCACATTTCCCGGCTGCGTCAACAAGCAAAACATGCGTTATTGGTGTGGTGTAAATCCGCGGAGCTTCACCCAGAAGTCCACTTAATTGTGAGCGAGTTACTTTCTGGTGTGCGATGTCGGTAATGGGAATAATTGGTCTTTATTTTTTTTGAAGAAAACGAAACGCGCAGTTACGTGAATGAGCTCGTTACAGGAACATGATCGAGGAATTTTTTCTTCCAAGACTCGAAGAATGAAACTTAGGAACGTGTGGTTTCCAGCAAGATGGAGGCCCACAGCACACACAGCACGAGACACAATGAATTTGTTGCGACATTTCCCTGACGCGCCTCATCTCTCAGAGGCGATCTCCAATGGCCGGCACGCTCTCCATATTTGACTCATGGCGATTTCTTTTTATCGGGGTTATTTGAACCCTGGTTCATGTCGATCGACCACAGCCATTAGCACACCTCAAAGAACAACATTCGCGACGCCATTGCCAAAACAATACTCGATTGTATGCTGCAAAGAGTGATTTGAATTTCAAAATTCGATTCATTCCGTGTATGCGCAATGGAGGTCGCCATTTCCGATGTCATTTTCAAGATGCATGAAAAAAATTGGGAATATTTGTATTCTCAATAAAAAAATTAAAACCATAACTGAAGTACTTTGTTTTTATTGACCTTTCAAATAAGTAGTTTCTCTGGCGCAATCAGTACTAGTGTCGGGACATTTAACGCCTAAAGAATGATTGAAACAAACGCTCTAAATATTACAGTTTTCCAACTTTTTGAAAACATACTTAGTAAAGGCCGTCTGAAAGTGGAAACATTAAAAGCACAAAAAACTCTAGATGAATGATGGAAAAAATATTCAGCACAAGTTGTGAATATTTGCCTTTTTCACTGTAGGAAATATGGTTAATATTAAATTAATTGGTGATTTCTTTCCATAAATACATTATAAGTTAGTATATTTTATACCACTAGTTTTTTCAGGATGGAAATAATTTATAACATGTGGCAATAAAATAATGCAATAAAACGGAAACGCTCCCTAAATCAGAATATTTTTTTTTTTGTTCGCAACGACTCTGGCTAACACAGTTTTACGTAAAAGGAGACCCTGAAACAATGTTTTATGTAGTTGTTTGGCTTCCACATAGTAAACCAATCCTGCATTTTTTTCTTTGCATTAGTTTCGTCCTCATGGTCAAAGATCCAACGTAGTATTTCACACAACGAACTACACTTTTTTTGTGAAAATCTTCAAAATACTAACAAAAATTTCTTTTTTCTGACAATCTTGAAATACAATTTTTTTTTTAAATTACATATAAACTGCAAGAAGCCTATCTCTTTCTTATGAAATGTGAAGAAAGTAAATGAGAAACGGGCAATTAGTATAATAATACAATAAATAAATAGAGATGATTGTCAGGTATCAATATCTTTAATTCCCACTAATGCGATCGCGTAGCGATCGAAAATGTCATTAGTGAATAAATATTGATACTGACAATATCTCTACTTTATTTATCAAAATAAAAAAAGGTATCTACTTCACCAACAATCGCAATTAATATATTACAAGCTGCAAAAAGAAACGGACACTTTCAGGGTTTGTAAAAGAAGAAACATAAACTTGAACAATTTAATTTGAACTGTATTAAATAACATTTAAGAAATAAGCACAATATTATTTTTACACCAATGTATTAACCAATGGCTGCCATTAGACTACAAGACTGTAGGTTATTCGCCTCATTGAACTGTGGATCAAAAACTGACTCATCAATTGTTCTTCATCCAATTCATCTTCATCTCACTTTTCTTTGGAGATACCTATGGAACATTTAAAGATGTTTAATGCACAAGAAATATACATTAACTAAGAATTTTTTTGTAAATTTGATTTAAATATTTAAATGTGTATATTTTTGTAAAATACTTCCTTCCTGCAAACGAAACGCTTACTGAAGAACCTCAATATTCAATTCTCGATTCATTTTCAGGACATAAATGTAAAACTAGGGAAAAATTACCCCACCCATGGAACCAATCCAGGTGTCTCCTCCAAAAACAAAAAAACTAATAAGTTGCTCCTATACATCGAGGTTGCTTTATATTCAGGATTGGAGACAAAAAAAAAATATTAATAATTCGAAAATCACTTTATTGTTTTTCCAAAAATATTTCCATGACGATCTCTACACTTTTGCATGCTGTTTTGAACCAATTGTCGAAGCACTTTGCCACTCTGATTGAGATATTCCAAAACATGCCATCTGAATGCAGCAACCGCTTTTTCTTCAGGGGTCGAAAAAAACGTTGACTCGCTCAGTTTGTCTTTTACGTACGGGAATCAAAAAAGTAATTCGGTGCGAAGTCAGGACTATACGGCGGATGACTCATCAATTCGTGTTTTGGGCCGCTCAAAAATGCAGTTGTTTGAGCGATGTGTGGAGAGCTCGCATTGTCGTTGGTGAAGAGTGATCCGTTTTCGAGGTTGGTTTTCCTGATATCTTTGAAAGACAGCTGGCAAACAAATCGTGTGACCACTTCAGAATTGATTGTTCTGGCGTTGTTCTAGTGGTACGGTTGCGAACATCGTCCGTTTTTTTCGAAAAAACAGCGACCATCTGTTTAGAAGTGCTTCGTGCAGCAAACAACTTTTGTTGGATTTTACCAATGCTTGAAACACCCATACAGTCGACTGCTGTTTACTTTCGGGCTCATACGCGTAATCCACGAATTCATCAGCTGTCACGATGTTCATAGACGCGTTTTTCGAAGCCCCGCAATCGTATTTTTTGAGCCTATCTTTCGACGCAATCGACACGACGCCTTTTTTTGGAGCGATTGAGAATTGTGGGATCCAACGCGAACATTTTTTTGACTAGTCCAAATGTTCAATGCAATATTGAATGATGCCTGGGTCCACAAATGCCTAAGGTTGTCTCAATCTCACGATAGGTCACATGACGATTCTTTGCACTATCAGTTCACGCACAGCATCAATAGTTTTCGGACAACAACTGATTTTGAACGACCTTTCGCGAAATTCGTCTAGGAGTGAACTACGAATCACGATTGAATTCAGGCGCCCCGCGGCACCATACCATCGATAAACACTGGTCCTTGATGGAGCTTCATCGCAAAAATTGAATTTTTAAGTTCATCATGCCTGTTGCTGAGTTAATCCACGTCGAAAGTTGTAAAAAATAATCGCACGAAAATGTTCACGATTTAATTCCATATTTGGGCCAAGATGAATCTTTTAAGTTACTGTAAACAAAACAAATAGCGCTCGTACGTAAAAAACGTTTTGAGTACGTATAACCTCAAAGCATCCAACTTTACGATAGAGCTGTCAGTTGCCATTGCATTGCAACTGATTGCAACACCAGGGTTGTCAAATCCCGAAACACAAAAGGCAACTTTCGTACAATAGCACACTGAGAGTGTATTTCTTTATGTAATTCTCTAATGTAAAAGGATCTCCACAAGATTATTACTAGCTCTTAAAGCTAAAGATTTACTACTAGCTCTTACTTAGCCATTAAAAAAATTTACATTCCTTCATGCAAAGTACAATAAACTACACAGTTAACTAGCATTATTTTTATTTTAAAACAAGATTTTTGCAAATAATTAGTGTAATCTGCTTTAGAGACTACAAATATCCACTTAAAAAATTGCTCTAAAATTGCTCCATTAATTAAATCCCTCAGTCATTGCCAGGGTCACCATCCAATAGGGTTACCATGTTTTCATTACTCCAGTTCTATATTATTAAAAAGAAATGTCTTCACTCTCGTAAATTGATTTAACAAACAACTGAAGTCTTATGGCCACCTCTTGAAATACAACTTAAAAAATACCTTCAAAATATAATTACTACAAAGTGAATGAATTTTTGTAACAAGCTTTTAATGAGGAACTGACAATATTAATATAATACATACTAACAAAGTTATTAACAAGATGTTAAATTGAAAATCTTTTTCTTTTGAACCTAACAACTCCCAAAACATTCTTTAATCTTATGAAGAAAGGTTTATTTATATATTTTATTTACTAGGAAGTACATAAAATATATAAAAAAGGACGAATATATACAACAATACAATATATTCATTATGTTCTCATTTTATTTTTAGAAATTGGATGAAACAAAGCTCAATAAAAAGAAATTAACATGATATTCTAACACCTCAACAAGAAAATTAATTGTTAAAACCTGAGCACCTTTTTCTCAAGTTCATTTTCTTTCTCCAAAGTAGCATTGCTCTTCATTTTTAGATTTAGAATTGTCAATCTCAGTAGGTTTTTTCAACAACATGCAACAACAATTTTAATGCATAAGCTCTGAAGGCAGTCTCCCATTAACTTATTTTTCTTATCAAGAAGAAACTCTGCCCCAAAATAGTCAATGATTTTCAAAATACAAAATTTCTAGAAGGACCTAAATTCATATGCAAAAGCAGTAGAATGTGAGAGAGTCAACTATCATGAGAGTGGGAAGGAGATAAAACAGTTTACTGAAGTCCTTCAGGTAACTGGAGATAGGAACACGCTGAATAACTGACAAAACTGAAATAACTCATTGCAACTACAGACTGAATAAACTCATTTCCTTTGGAGTGCCATGAAAGCAACAAGCATCAAAGAAGATTATTTTCTTCCAATCCAGTTTTTGATGGAGTCAATCTAGCTACATTCCAAGCAGTGGATAAAATAATCCCTAGCCAGAAGTTGATGCAAGTGCATCACCTACTAATTGTGACAGTAATGACAAAAATCAAGTTCATACCAATGTCATCACAAAGCATTAGGTGAGGTGACCATTCTTCAGTTTCAAGAACTCTTTATTAGTTTATGAGTCAAGTTAGTGCAGAAACTTGGAATGATGCAGCCAAACAAACAGTTTTAAAGAAAAAAAAAACTGTTTTCGTCTTGTGTCCTTAAAGTTCATTTCCACAAAATCTCCAGATCAACTTTTCAGAATATTTCAAGACTGTTAATTATATACAGAACTTCCCCAAAGGACATGAGCAAAATTCTGTAATATGAACAACATAAAATCATCAAAATAGCACTCAGAAATTATCTCTTTTCCTCAACTACAGTGACTCTTCAATAATCGCAGAGATGTAACTCATTTCTCAGAAAATGATTTTCATTGATGACACATTCCTACTGAACATAATATAAGGTATGTTTTAATGATCGCTTGTATTTGGTTATGCCCGGAAGCTCTCTGAACCGATTCGAGTCAAAATCTGCCGCCACCTCCACTTCAGCTCAGCTTCTGCCCTCGGTTTCACTGTTGTGCACAGCGCTAGTGTCGCATGCGTGTCATCACCTCGCCCCCTCCTCCCCTCTTTCTTCTGCACCCCCCTTTGGATGGACAGTGCTGCCTGGCTCTCATGATACCAACATAATTTCTCTTGCTAGCACTCTCACCAGTATGGTCACAATGTGGAGAGACTCTCCTGGCGCACTATATTAGGTACTAACTGCCCACAGGCTTACAAATTCAATAAATGAAACATTGGCAAGATTACTCTTTACAGAATATGTAGGTTTTTAATCTTTCCAGAACATTTCGATGATACAAAATGGGCACAACAAAGCATACAAAACTTTTATTACATTAACAAACAAAAAATATAATTAATCATCAGAGAGATGTTTTAAAATGAATTACAATAAGATTTTAAAAATAATTACACAGCTATTAATATACACTGACAAAAAAGTGTATATTTTTTCTCATAATTACCTCAATAAGACCAGTAGAAAATGCATATCCCGTCATAGCAACAGTTGCTACTAATGCAGCTAAAAATTGATTACGTCGTTTGTTTGGAAAGTAATTTTCAGCGTCTTCTTTGGGTTTTTGTTGCGAAGTTTTATGAGCTTCATATTCTAAAAGAAAATAATTTACTTCAATTAGGCCATTTAATAATTTATAATTTACTTGATTAAATTTATGAATGGCACAAAGATTGAGAGAACTGAAAATTGAAATTAATAATGTGACAAAACTATTAATTCAAGTCACCATGAAACTTTGTGCATAAAAATCAACATTTATTTTTTTGCCTCTAAACAAACATTTCTGTGAAATTGTATCAGCTTTAGAGTACCAGGCATTCATATACGAAAAATGGACTTCACTAATTTTTGCACTGCTTTCTATCCCTTTCGCTTGAAATAGAGTTTATATTTTGAGTTCAATTAATCTAAGCTGTAAAATTTGGTTCCTACTCGTTGAGATGCAATGATGGATGCCGGAACATTTTTCAATTTTCATTAATGTTTTTCAATTTTTTTTTTCTTTTTCCCAACCTATGTAATAGCTCAAATCTAGGAGTTGATGTTAAAAGGGATATGTCCGGGAAAGAGAACAATGCATCAATACAATAAGAATTACCTTGCAAGGAGCTGGCAAAGTAACGCTGTGATATCCTCACCACAAATCGTACTAAATTGCTACATGCTTTGAGGTGGTTTTGAAGGGCAGCATTTAGAAACGGTGCTTTAAGAAGAGGTGCCAAGTATGCATATACTGTGGCATCTAATGTAGATGGATGAGAACCAAAGAAAAATTCTTCTTCTCCCAAACGAATGGACAATGCAGTTAAGCATTTCTCTGCTTCTGCATGAACCTGTATCAACAAAACCAAAAATGATCAAATTATAGAAAAATACTGGTAAAATCCTCATTAGTATATTAGATAAGTGATTTTACCTTGCAAAAGGTGAGATCAAAATTTTTTATTTTTATTTTGAAAAACAATAAGAAAAGCCTAAGTTTTCCAACTCAAAATACTCCACAGGAAATTTTCAGGAAGTTTTTGTTTTTTGTGAAATAACTTTTTGAAGGCTGAAGTTAGTGAAAAAATGGTTTTGTCAATTTTAAAATCATTAAATTCTTTACAGTTTGTTCTATAAATATTAATATATTTGAATTTTTAAGATAATTGTAAATAAATACTAATGTTACGTTTTTAGTTGTTATTGAGATTGAACTTTTATATACTTGATTATATATTGAGACTGATCTTGAAAATTCTAGTAGGAGTGGCAGTAGTATGTTCCACCAACTAACACATTTTACTTACATTAAACAATAGCATTTTTACAGAATAAAAAGAAAAGTTATTTTAATAACAATAACAATAATAACAATAACAACAACAATAACTTCTTCTTCTTCTTCTTCTTCTTCTTCTTCTTCTTCTTCTTCTTCTTCTTCTTCGGTTTTTGCAGGGGTGTTTAGAGTTCTATTGAAGTTGATTCAATATTTTACTGACTCGCAATTTTGAAATGATTTGATGCCTTATTTTACGAGACGAGACTCACTCCATGAGACCTGCTCTTCCATCTGACCACGCAAATTTCCCCAAGCTATAGAGTATTTTCCACAAGCTTGTTGTACAAAGTGTAGGCTAAATGTACAAGCTACCGAATACTAAAAACATTCTAGATAATTTGCCGTCTACGAGTTTATATATATATATAT